GTGTTATGTAGTTCATAACTTTCTACTCTGACTTGCTCTTTTTGCCTAAAAAGAATTCTCTAATTGGATTGTCCATCATTTGTATATTACCTTGTGCCTGCCTGTTAGATGACATGGTCCCTTTAACCATTTCCCCCCATTTCCACTGTTCCAATACTGGCTGCCTGTGGCTGTCTCTCACATATTACACATCCTTCCACTTAGAGATTGCTTTCCTTATGTTAAACATGTGGCCCAAGATCGAATTGAGTAATACTTGAGATTACTCAGTCAAGGATTGTTTAAAAGTAAGTAAACTGTATACTATATTTAACAGGGCTAACTAGCATTTTTGAAATCTATAATTATAATAATAATAATAATAATAATAATAATACCAGTGCCAAAACTTTAATTCCATGTCTTAAATTGAATACTTTTGCTTTTAAATATATATTGTATAATATAATAGCATATTACATGATATTTAACATATTCATATAGTTTTATACATATATAAACGTAAGAAAAATCTCGAGAAATTCTAAAGCAAATACCACCCCCAACTGTAGTTATTCATTTAGGATTAAACTCGTCACTTAGTATCATAATTTTCAAATAAATGCTCTCAGATTGTATTTAATAAAGTAAATGTAGAGCAAATTAGAAATGTAATGGATAAGTACAAAGCAAATCACTTATTTAAAATGGTTTTGAGTGGTCATAATGATACAGCAGTTGATTCAATTAATTTATTGAAATTCTAAAATTTTTATGCAAGGAATTCTGCCGAGAGCTGTTGAGAATTGAAAGGTGATCAGGTGCGGAATAGAATGTGCCCTCCAAGGAAAGTGCAAGCTTTTGGCAAAGACATGGACACAGGCTCCAGAAATAAAATATGATATAACGCAATCGTGAACTTAATCCTTTCTGTTGAGAAGTAGGGATCAAGAGAGGAATTTACTTGACCTAAGTGAACAGGGCTACAGCGTTAGAGGGTAGAGTTTTAGGTAAAGTGTGAGTGTCACTTGGCACAGAGAATGAAGAACCTGAAGCACCAAGCTATAAATGTTAACTATTATTTAGAAACCAGGTGGAGACATTGAAGGTTTTAAAACCAGGAAGCAATGTACTCAAACTGGTGCTTTAATGGGTGAATTCAGGGGAAAGATCAGCTAGGGGAATCTTCGAAGTTCTAGGTGAGCCATGATTACCTAGACTAGGCTAGGGACAGTTGGAATAGGAAAACCGGGGTGCACAAAAATGGGGGGTAAAATATACTGCCACGCCATTCTGAACAAAAAGTCATGGCCAACAAAAGACATGTCTGATAAGGGGAATATTATCCAAAATACACAAAGCACTTTTTAAACTCAACAATAAGAAAAGAAACCCAATTCACAATTGGCCGAAGATCTGAACAGATACCTCACCAAAGACGACATGCAGGTGACAAATTAGCATATTTAAAAAATGCTCCACATCACGTCATCGGCGAAAGGCAAATGAAAAAACAATGAGATACCACTAAATAGCTATTGAAATGGTGAAAATCTGGAACACCGACAACCCAAAATGCCAGTGAGGACATGAAGCCATAGGAACTCCCGCTAACTGACTGTGGGAATGCAAAACGGTACAGTCACTTTGGAAGACAGTTTGGTGGCTTCTTAAAATACTAAACATATTCTTACCAGATGATCCAGCAAGCACGCTTCTTGCTATTTATGCAAAAGAGTCAAAAACTTAGGTCTGCACAAAACCTGCACATGGATGTTCACAGCAGCTTTATCCATAATTGCCAAAAGTTGGGGGCAATTGAGATGCCATGCCCTTCAGTAGGTGGGTGGATATGTAAACTGTGCTATGCCCGCAAATGGATTATTATTTGTCACTAAAAATAAATGGACTATCAAAGACATGGAGGAAGCTTAAATAGATAGCACTAAGTGAGAAGAGCTCATCTGAAAAGGCTACATAGAGTACGATTCCGACTACATGACATTCTGGGAAAGGCAAAGCCATGGAGCCAGTGGAAACATCAGTGGTTGGCACAGGCTGGAGGAGGGAGCGGGATAAGTAGGTAGGGCAGAGGAGTGGGGGGCCGTGAAAATACTCTGCATGGCACTATATTCACGTCGTTAGAATTTATTCAAGTCCGCAGCACGTACAGTAAGACATGCTAATGTAAGCAGTGGGCTCTNTACAGTAAGACATGGGCTCTTACTGTAAGCAGTGGGCTCCGGGCAACAGTGCTCTGCCAAGGCAGATGCATCAGTCACAACATACGCTGCACTCTGGGCGGCGGGAGATGCTGATAACGGGGGGGGCTATGCAGATGGGGGTCAGGGTGTATATGGGAAATCTCTGTGCCTTCCTGTCAATTTGGCTCTGAACCTAAAACTACTCTGAAAAAAGAAGAAGGAACCTAAGTCTTAACTTTCAAAAACGCCATGGCCGCTTCCTTGTAAAGCTTTCTTTAGACGTCAGTTTGGCCACACTGATGGGTTCAGATGTAAAGCCAATGGCATGCACTTCACTGCAGGCTCGCCCTTCAGAATTATTCTTGGAAAAGCCAAAAGCAAGAACTCCGAACCCTTGATTTCTTCAGGGGCACTTTCCAGTGTGTAGAAAATATGCCACCCTAGAGAGGCTCAATATACACGCGTGATCCGCTTCCCGCCCACTGAGCCCCGCGGAGGCCCTGAACGTGAGGCCTTGGTTTCCAGGTGAGTCTATGAGAGAGACTTGAGGACACCGAGGGAGACCCTGACAAATGTATGTAGATGGACACACTGGAGGTGAGCCAGAATCTAGAGAGGGTCATTTTAGGTTACTTTCTAAATAAACAGTGGTCTTCTAGGCTCCCAGAGTGTAGGAGTATGAACAGAAAATTCCAAGAGATCTGGAGCTGGATTACATGTCATGGAAAATGCCATTCTACTCCTATGCCCAATGTCTATGACTACAAAGAAAGGCCCACTGATTGTACATATATATATCATAGAAGATCTGCAAGGAACTTTCTACTTACAGACCACATGACCCCTCCTTTTGCTATTTGAACCCTGAAACAGAGAAAAGTGAAGGGATCTGTAAAAGTTCCCACAACTACTTAGTGGCAGAGCCAGGAGCAGAACCCAGTGCTCTTGATCCCATTCCAGCCTTAATTCCGTAGACCACTTAGGCATTTATATTCCCATGGACTCTTTGTGTCAATATGCAGGTTTGTTCATATCTTTCTGTCTTTGCTAAACCAGACTTTGGGAGTCTCTGGAATCTGACTTCCAAAATACATAAATTCACTACCCACTCAAAAAATATCATACTCATTAAAATGATGCTTCCCTTAGAAGATGTATTTCCATGTGCTGAGTTTGAGGACACCCAGTCTCAGTGATTTCATAGACATACTGTCCTCTGAATTTGTGTTTTAAAGTTTTGTTACAGTTTGCCATTTCCAAGGGATTTTTTTTTTTTTTTGAGACTTGGATTGGCAAACCATACTGCATCCCATTTGGGAGCTGAATGGGGAAACAATGCAAACATGTAAGCACATACCAAAGGGTTACTGCTGTGGGAAAGCTGCACTAGAAATGATTTCCAAGTTCTCTGACACCGAATAAGTTTTCATGGCCATAAATACAGCATGGAACTATGAGCAATAAAAAGCGTAATGAAAAAGTAATGCTCAAAAAGGTTTTTCTCCTGAAGCAAAAGTCAAAACTCGATTTTGATGTATGGCCCTGGAGCTGCTACTTTAGCTCGCTGGCACATAATGGAGAGGTCTTTGCCGGTTTTTCACAATTCGCTTTCATTTCCATGAGAGACATTTTCATATTTCCCATCATATATCCAATTATATCTTAGGGTTCCAGCAGGGGCAGGACGCAGCCCACAGACCCTTCATCTTTGACCCACTTTGAAGTTTTGGGGGGGAAGGTGTTCAAGGATCTTAATAGGAAATAATCATTCAATAAGCCAGAGGATTCGGTAAATAAATCCTAAAGATCAACATGGTGACAGATGCAAGGTGGTCAGCATTTTATACAAATAGTCTATCGATAGAATAGTAGACTTAAATGGAATATCAACATTTTGACTTTGATAAGGTATAAATCATTTGTGTAAACTTTAATAAAGATAAAATGAAAGGATACTAGTTTTTGCTTACTGTGACTTTTATCTCTTTCAATCATGAAAGTCCGGACTAAAAAATTCCTAAAGTAACTGTGAAAAGAAAGCTGGAGGGGTTCTATACCAACTGAGAGACTGGAAAACTATAAGGGTATGGTTTCAAAGATGGCTATGCTCAAAATATTTATGTAAGAAGATCCAAAAACTAAAGTCCCCTCCCCCTTGCTTTACTGCCTCACTCTCAGCATCTTTACCAACTCTTTTAGAAACAAATGCGGCAGTGGTAAGTGATCATTTATTTGTTATTTACATCATTCCTTCTGCTCAAAATAGTGTTATGTAGAAATAATGGAATATACGTTAAAGAACAAGTACTAGAAATCAAAACAAGCAACCCTATCTCCCACAAAAAAAGATGCTATTTTTGAGCAACAATAAAGCATACAATCATGAGCCAAATTGTGTAACACAATGAACGTGTGTGTGTGTGTGTATATATATATATATATATATTTCAACAGTCATCATTCATTAGCCCATAGAAGGTTAATCCTAGAAGTATAACAAAGTATTTCTCAAAGTATACTATATAGAAAATTTTTAAAAAGTGTTTCTAAGGGCAAATCATTTTGGAAATGGATAATTAACTAAATTAACTACAGAAATTCTAGGAGTGTTGATATACTAAAGAAAAATCATGACTCTCAAAGAGACAGCTAATCTAAATCCAACCCCTCAAAATTAATCAAGCTTTCTCTCTCTCACCTTCTTTCCTTCCATCCCTCATTGTATTAGTCAGCGTTCTCCAGAAAAAACAAACAAAAAAACAGAAGTAAGATATATACAGCTATATAGAAGAGAGTAATTGATAGGAATCAACTTACATGGTTATGGAGCCCAAGAAGTGCACATCTGCCTTCTGTCAGCTAGAGAACCAGGGAATGCAGTGGTGTGATTCAGTCCGAGTTCAAAGGCCTCAGGGTGGGGGCTGATGGCGTAAGTCCAAACACGAGTCTGAAAGCCCAAGAATCAGCAACACTGATGTCCTAGGACAGGAGAAGACGAGGTCTCAGCTCAGGCAGAGACAGCAAATTGCCCTTCCCCTGCCTTTCTGATCTATTTGGACCCTCCACAGATGAATGCTGCCTACCTACACTAGGGAAGGCCATCTGCTTAACTCAGTTCAATTCACATACTCATCTGTTCCAGAAACATCCTCACAGACACGCCCAGAAATGATGTTTCACCAGCTATCTGGGCATCCCTTAGCCCAGTCAAGTTGACACGTAAAATCTACCATCACACTTGTAGATAAAGATTAACTTTGGTGGAAATGCTGGTTCCTCCAAAAAGGTGACCATTTACCAGAAGATAAGGGCTACATGATTTGAATGTATAACAAATAAGTTGATTTTTAAGATTATTATTGAAATTGATGGTGTGCCTAGAGAAAATGTTTTCTGAAAGACGGTTACCTCAAAAAATTAAAAGTGGAACTGCCGTAGAACCCAGCAATTCCACTTCTGGGAATTTGGAGAAACCTGAAACACTAATTCAAAAGAATATATGCAATGCACCCCTATGTTCAGTGCAGTGTTATTTACAATAGCCCAGATTTGGAAGCAGCCCAAGTGTCCAGCAGTAGATGAGTGGGTACAAAAGTTGTTGTGCGTGTACACACTGGAATACTACTCAGCCATAAAAAAGAAGGCAATGTCGTTCTTGACATTCTTTCTGTCAGCTTTATCATGGAGACATGTTCAGGCCTCAAAGTAGTCTCTGAGGAGCCTAGAATCTTCCTGGTTAATTTTCTGCCATGCCAGTAACCAGAAACAAAGAATTCTTATCTGAAAGTTTGGGATATTATTGGTGATTTGAGCTATATACCTCATCAATGTAACTCAAAAATTACCAGTTTTCTACTTCTCCTAATATTTTGTGCATGAAACCTTTGTCCAGAGATAATAACCATGGCTGTCATGAGTAATTATTCTGCACTTTACCTCGAATCAATTAGGACAGGTCAAAATAGATAACTTAGAAAGTGGGAAGAAATTTCTGCCTATAAAGGTAGGCTCTAGGATTTATTATCAGTGTGTGTGCTGAGCATCTCTCTTTTTTGTTTCTTTTCCAGGAAAGAAACCAACTGTGGATGTTCATGTTTTTACAATCAGTCTGGCTCCCGTTTTTTCTTCCACCTGCAGTATTCTCAGGCTTCGTAAATTACCGCCACCTCAAATGTCTTGACTCTGAAAAGGTTTTGCAGTTAAGCTACGTAAATTTCATCTCTACTGGGGACAGGAAGATGGTGAAGTTTGGCCAACAAAGAGTTAAATGTTTGCAGCAGGTCTTTCCTCCGAGATCCCTTCCTTGTAAAGATCCAAGGGTTCTCTGAGGGGAGTAACATCTCTGATGCCTCTGCCTCCCTTAGAGCCTCCCTTTTGAATCTCTGAGGCAAGCAAAATAAAAGGCAGCGGAAGGCTTTCAAGCTATTGTCTTAGGCTCTCAAAGAAGTCCGCATTTCAAATATTTAAGGCGAACCTGTGTATCTCAGCGCCACGTAATTTCAAACCTGAGTCTCTGCCTTGGGGGGGGGTAAGGCCAGCGTTCCTTTTTCATTCTGTACCCCTGGTCACTGCCCTCTGTGGCATTTTTGACCACAGGGCTGCCCAGCCACAGCGTGTCCTCTCGATGCCCTCGCTCTAGCTCCTTCCAGTGGTAAAGCTCACGCGCTCCCCACAGCAGCACCGTCATCAGGACAAGAACCTGGACGGCTCTTCTGAGTCAGGGGCGCACGGGAGGGTCAGGACTGTCCCTACACTCTCTCCAGTCCCTCTTGCTCGCGATTTTAAGTTGAAGAAATTCTGATGAAGCCTGAATCTAGATCTCCAGTTTATTCAGAAATTGTAAAGCAACTTGGTCCCCTTGGGGGTGACGCTGCTCAGACTGTCCAAAGCTGGCATTTCTGAGACGTGCGGATGAGCATTTCCAGGCCTTGGCGGACGCCCAGCAGCACCGTTGCCTAACGCTCTCGATGCGCTCATTTCCACAAACGGCAAGTTCCTCGGGGCTCTGGGGGAAACAGTGCTCTGTAATAAAGGCAGCAGGTGTTTTGACTAATGATCTTTTAACGGCATTTTTGATGGTTTTAATTAAACCCCAAATATTTCTTTTGGAAAAAAAAATAAAGGACAAATGGTTTCTAAGGCAGAATAAATAGTGCTTTTAAGGATGCATTAGAAAAAAGGAAACCGCATGTTGTCTCACTGAAGAAAGCAAGGGACGCCTTAGTAACGTCCAAATGGAAGTTTAATAATTGAGAAAAAGTTAAACCATTATGATAAGAGTTGATAAATGTTACTGTTAGAAAAAAAGGTTAATAGATTTATCAAAGAAAGAATATCCTATCCTGGCCCTAAAGCAATAAGGGACACAGTATGTACATTTATCATGCTCAAATGTTTTGGTTAAATATATGTAAGTATCTGAACAATGCTGAGGTCTGCTATCAGTTAAGAAGGGGATCAATATCTCAGGCAAGCCTGACTCCTCCTCCAAGAGATGGCACTGAATGTGGGGTAGCTGTCAATAAACAAGAGGCTCTCGCTGGCATCTTTTGCTTGGCAGGTTAGACCGACCTCGTGCAGGACTAGAGACAGGTTGGCACAGAGCCATGGACACAGCAGGCAATTTATGGTGTTTGATTTGTAGCCAGTGGTGCCACAAAGTCCCACCAAGGCCATTTGATCCAGCAATTCCACTGCTAGGTATATACCCAAAATACCTGAAAATAAGTGTCTGAACAAAAACGTATATATACCTGTTCATAGCAGCACTCTTTATAATAGCCAAAATGTAGAACCAATCCAAATATCCATCAAAGGATGAACACAATGCGATATACCCATTTAATTCAGCAGTGCCTGCCGCGTGTCCACACGGTGTCCCCCGCGCCTGAGGACATCAACCGTCGCAGGGCTGGGTTTCCCGCCTCTTTCTCTAGGTAGGTCTATTGCTGATCAGCAAATATTTAATTCTAAATAAGCTTTTTTCTTTTCTTTTTCCGGTCCCTTTTCTTACTGAAGTTGCGTTTTAGTAGGGGAAGGGGGTGACAGGCAAGTAAGAAGAGAGCATATAATTCAAAACTTCAGGGTAAATGTTGATCCAAAGGGAGCGATCAGGGCGTCGTGTTAAGGATTCCAAGGGCTGGGGCTCCTTTGGAGAGAGGGACTGGCCCAGGTTTCCCCAGGGAGCTGGCATCCGGATGGGGCCCGAGGGTCGGGGAGCCTGACAGGAAGACAACCCGGGGAAACTGTCCCAACAGGAGGAACAGCGACAGGAATCCAGAGGCGGGACCTGCGCTCAGGGAGTTGTCAGAGCCGTGTGGCCTGAGCAGAGTGAGCATGAGGCAAACAGAGCCTAGAACATGGCAAGTAATTAAAACACAATTCAGAGAAACCTGGATATCATTCCTAAGAGCAGCTGGAGACCCCTGAGGAGCACTGAAGCACCTTCAAGAGGCATCGTTGTGAAACAGTGAATCGATCAAAGCCACGAAGAGTTCACTTAAACATAGTGGTTTGCTGCGTGTGTTTTTCAACATTAGTTAAAACACAGTCTTTCTAGTAACTAAGTCTCATGGATGAAGCACTACATAGAACAACCCTTGGTTTTACCATGGACTCTGTGCGTGGACACTCCTGACTGACCGCTTTGAAATCTCTGCTCACACGCCTCATGAAGCCGTGTCGTTAACTTTAGTAATCACCGTGGTGATCTAACCAGCCTCACCAAAGCGAGAAAGACATTGTCATCCCCCGTTATCTCTTGGGCTCTCGACCCTGACCGTGTGAGGCAGAGAGAAACAATCCCCGATTTAGAATCATCATGTAGATTTTAGCCCCTCTGGGAATCTCCGGCGTTGGTTGTTGTGACACCTCCAGAGATGAACACTCACTCCTTTGAGCTGCCGTTATCGCTGTCATTACAATGACCATGAGCTGCTAGCATATAAGGTCAAGTCCACAGCAGAAGCTGGTTTCTCCCACTCTCAGGGGTGCCCCACGTGCAGTCATTCACTCCCCAACTCTTTTGGGGGTGCTGTTCTAGGTGCTAGAAGTTGAGACTGAACAAAACACCCCTATTTTCATGGAGCTTGCATACTATTTTGGTAAGAATTATATCTTCACATGAACATTCCACACTAAATTAGATAACCACCTTCTGGAAATTATTGGCCACCTCTCTTTCTTTTTCTGAAAAATGAATTTATTTTTTAAGATCAAGACACTGAGCTCAAATTTGATCCGCCCATGCCTCCAATGTGAAAAGGGGAACCAAGTTCTAAGGTTCTAGGGTCTCAAAGCTGAGGATCCTGGGTCTAACATCTGGAAAGATGATAAAATCATCTAGCCAATTTGCATGTCTTCTTATTGCAAATAGGCAAACTGGGATTCAGGGAAAGGAAAGAGCCTGATGAAATTTCATCACATGCATCAAAAGGCTGCCGGTTCAATTCCAGGTCAGGGCAATGCCCAGGTTTCAGACTCCATCCCCAGTCGGGGTGCAGCCGATTGATGTTTCTCTTTTACATTGATATTTCTCTCTCTCCCTCTCCCTTCTTCTCTCTCTAAAATCAATAGAACATTTTTTAAGAAATTTTACACACCAACATGGTAACTGTTGAATCAAGGAGTTGGCTCTCTAGGGGTGTTCCTGCCACTTCCCAAAGGAAACTCTCAGCATCCCCTCGTTTTACAGACAAAAGGAGGAAGCTCAGAGAGACATACAGTGACTGGTCCAAAGGCATTCGCAGAACAACAGCCAGAAATATGACCCAGCTTATTCCCAGTCCAATTCTCTTTCCACTAAACAAAAAGATCATCTTTATATAGGTGCTTATTTTGCAATATGATCCTTTCAACACATAGTTTATTAACTTATATGGAGGGAATTTTATGGGATTCATTCCTGAGAATGTCAACTTTTCTTTGAATGTTATAATAAATGTAAAAAGATGGTCATAAAAACT